GAAGAATCGCTTCAATTGTGGGTCTATCACATCGGGTCCCACTGTCACTGCATGGTCCAAGGCGGCGCTGGCGAAAAGGAGACCAAAGACATAGATGATCAGTGCAAGCAGGATGAGCGCCCAAAGCAACGACTTGGTGGCATCATACATTGAATACACAAGAATCCTCAAGCCACTTACGTAGCGGACGATGCGCAGCGACCTGAGGCCCTGTAGAATTCGCGTGAACTTGAAGACTCTAACGATCCGCACCTGGGCGCAGGGTTGCTGAGGCTGTGGAACTTGCGGTTTAGAGTGTTTGGGAGTGTCACATAGCTTTTGTGCTCCTGGGACTTAAAGCGCCATCAGTTTAAACCCTCTGCACTGAAACCATCTCTACGGTACATCGATCCGAAAAGTTTCGCTGTTGCTTGGGAATCCGAAACAAAATTCAAGACCCAGCTTCGCTGGTTCCCGAGGCTGGCGAGTTCAGCATCTGCTGGATGTCCAGGTAAAGCTCCTGTCTCAAAAACAGAGCGTCAAAGCACGTTCTCTGGGGTCTTATATAGGGTTCGGTTTCGGACGTCGGGTTCAGTGCTTGGGGCTACGGCTTGTCGTGGTTCAGGAATGATTCGGGCATGCAGCTCTCCATACTCTTCGAAGAATCCGCAACTCAGACTTTGAGAACTCACCTTTTACAATGTTCCTCCCCAGACCAGAAAATTCGCAAAATCTGAAAAAAAAATGTCGCAGAGGCACAATCCACGCGGAGAACACGACCAAGACGTCTAGCCATGCCCAGCCCCATCCACTGGAACAAAGAAACTTTTTGAAGCCAAAGGCCACCAAGTTCAGCGCAACTTCACTGGTGAAGATGACCTCTCAGTTTGGGGCTTTATTTGGGCCTCGAGAGGCGGGTCAATGCCAGCTTGCTGGGAGTAGGGTCAAATCTGCATCACTTCACTGTCATTAGGTTCACGCTGTTTTCCTGTGGTGTGTTACCTGCATAATATCCAACCCTAAACTCTAAACCCCCATAATATCCATAATGAATCAAGCAGAAGCTGCAGCATAGAGGGTATGGACGATTGTGAAGCCCGGATCGATAAGGTCAGTTGGATGCGCGGACATCCACTGGATCTGTCCTCCGATGTACAGCGCGTTTGACACGAGCACCTGGGCAATGCTTGTCTTATAAGGCTTCATGTACCTGTATAGTCTGTATACTTAGGCCTTCAAGTACCTACACAGTAACCACTTCAAGGACGAAGTATATACTTTATATAGGTGTGGCGGGACCCAACTATCTAAACAAGAGGATCTGTGTTGAGAGGCCCCTAAACTCCTAAATCAGGTACCCCTAGTTTCTGAATGCCCCTGCCCCCCATGAGGGCATGCGAGGTACTGTGGCAAAGAACAACTCGAAGCGCTGCGATGTGACGATCCTCCGAGCAGCGGATCGGAAAGCCACAAAGCACGGACAAGCTCGTCGAAACCATTCGTTCGGTGCATCTGGATGCATGCTCTCCGTGTAGAGCTTCCTGGCTGGCTTGGATCCACTTCCAGTGCAAGTGTGTTGGGACACTTGGCTCACATACAACTTCTTTGGAATTCTGCTGTAAGGCACAGTTGTTGAACATTGGTACTGTCTGACAGCCCGGAGCATTTCAGGCACTTGCGCTGCTGTTAAATTATGGTTTTACAGGTTTACCAAACTGAGCAGCCGAGTATCTTGTACACCTCCAGCCTTGACCCCTCCCGTTTCGCAAGATCGTAGCTCGACTGCGAGCGGTCGGATGGACGAGGAGGCTTCACCTCTCTCTTTCGGCAGGAACGCAGGTTGTAAGCTTCAGGAAAGCTCAGATTGGTGAGCCTTGCAAGGAAAAGGGCAAGGGTATGACCTGTTCCAACCCCTGTATTGTATCTCTTGGCTAACTTTTGTCCGACGCATCGGGAAGGAGCATGCATGGAGTCTCAGGTGTGAGCCGCGCCGAAAAACTGCTCAAACAGGCCATCAGATTCAAAGTGGACCCCTGTGACCTAAAATAATTTGGCTGTTATTGTATACATCCGTAGGTCTTGTCTTGACTGGCGATTCCTAGCATCTACGTACATGCTTCCCATGCTGAGCTGACATGACTCGACGTGGCAAGGCCTAGAACCTTGCATGAGTAATACATATAGATATAAATATGTGTATATATATATATATTATAGTATTATCAGTTGTCTGTTACCTCTTACATATTATCTGCTACCTGTTACCTATCATCAGCTATCTGTTGTTTATTAATAGCTAGGTTGTAAATATTGTATATTACATACTGTACATCATATTTTTTCATTACGTAATTCAAATTATACATTATACATTGCGCAACATATACATTATAAACCACAAGGTATTGTATCTTCTAAATTGTCAAATAGTACGTATTAAATATTAAATTTTAAATACTATGCTTTTGAAATTGTTTATCATATATCGGCTATTAAATACATTCTACATTGTATTTTTGAATTACATGTTATGTATTCCCTTTTCTTGTATTATCCGTTATACGTTTCAAGATATATTCTATACACATATATGCTGTATAAACATTCATACGTAACAAATTTGAACTTTTATATTATATATGATGATATAGATGCTAAATAAACAAATAAATAAATGTATATATATATATATTTACATTCTATATTATATGTTATAATATAAAGTATATAACAACCAACCTGTTATATATTCTTACAATTATGCATTACATTCCTTTTGTTAAAAGTTGTATCTTCAATAATACCTATTTTTTAAATGTAATTATAGAATTATAAACGTTACATATTCTTTTATACTCTATTTCTCACACTAGATATTACTATATGATATATATATATATATACTATACTATGAGATAATGTACATGATCATATTACAACATATTATACTATCGTATGTTGTATTGTATGATTAACTTGCATATACATAAACATATATATATATATAGATATACATACATACATACACTATATCTTAGTCTTTCCCATTATGTTATGTGAGGTTATATGAATACCATATATTACATGTTATATATTGTGGTAAGTATGCCGAAAACTGAAGGAAGCTCCCGGCCAAGAGCCAAGGGCCTCGGGGCTCGCCATCGGGCTCTTCACGTTGTCAAGCTCTACTCGGTGAATCTCCTGGAGCTGAAGCTCTCCAGGGATTGGGGACTTAGGGTTTAGGGTTTCTTTTAAGGCTTTAAGCGTTTAAGGCTTTGGGGTTTAAGGAGATTGGGGATTCCAGTTCTTGGGCCGAGGAGTTTTCAGTTGTCAGCCTTTTTTGTCAGCTTTTGGTTGAAAGGCAACTGCCCCCAAAATCGTAGATCCGGCTTCAGGGTACAGGTCCTTGAAACCCACAGCTGGGGGAGCTGACCAAATTTTGTCCTCCCGATGAGGCGGCTGAAAAATGAAGGCATCAGGGCCCGTAGTGACACTTGGAAATCCCCTTCTGTGGAAATGTATATATATATATATATGTATACATATATATATATACGCACGTGATGTGTGTTGCTGTTCTCATCAGTAGGATACTCAGTAGGGGCCCTCCAAATTTCACTGTTGCTATTGCCGACTGTTGCTGCATTTGCTATGCCCAACCCCAGAGACTTCCGTGAGACTCCAGGTCTCAGAGAGACTACGTACTGTGGGACGTTATGGAGTGCCCAACCACAAACTACCGTGAGACTCCTGGAGTGCCCAACCCCGAAGACTACCGTGAGACTTGCTGGTGAAAAACAAAAACCCCTCGAGCACTGATAAGCCCTAAACTGGCCCTAAAGCTGACACTCTACCGAACCCCTCATGGTACCCTTCAGGAATACCTTGAGGCTTAACCCTGGAGTACCTGAAAGCCTGAAGCCTCAATGTTTGGGCGGGCCAAAGATCCTCGACCTCCTCCTCACCCGAGCCAGAAGGCTCCACAGTCTCTTCCTTAGCTTCAGGGCTCATTGTTTAGGAATCTTTGGGGCCCACGGATGAAGGACTTTTCACGGCCCTTGCTCGGCTCAGCTTCAGGGCTTCGGCCTTCGAGGGCTTTGGCAATTGAGCCTTTGCTTTGCTGCAGCTCTTTAGGGCTTTGGGGTTTCCGGCTGCTCCATGGAGTATCCGCTGTACGGACTGTGGGACTGTTAGAGTGGCTCCAGCGAGGCTCGATGGGGCCCTGGAGCAGGCTTTATACTTTCCCATGCAATTTTGAAGAGGCCGATGGGGTCGATGGAAACCTAGTGACCATGCGTTACACGAGCTGCCAAGCTAGCTGTTGGGCAAGACTTGCCCAATTTCACACTAGACTCGCTGCAAGCCAGATACTGCATGGAGTGCCGGGCTGATTGCCTGGCTGTGGGTTTGGGGAGAATGATGATGGTCGGCAGGAAGTGTCTCGTAATCGTCGTGACAAAGCCTGTTCTCAAGCGCCAGCAGCCAGTTGTCCTTAGCTTGCATTCGGCTGCGCGGATTGAAACCACCCATCTCCTGTCGTTCGACTCTACAAACTTCTAAGAAGAACATCCCGGCACCCTGTGGAAGACAGTTGATCTCGGGCCGTGCGTCGAGACGAGCCATGAACTGGTCATGGCTCCTCTGAACGGCTTCTTCCACCAGCTGAGAAACCTGCGTCTCCATGGCCGCCGAAGGAACTCTTCGAGCAACAAGCTGCGACAGAATCTGGTGAGCCAGTGAGGTGCTCATGAAAAAGCTGGCCTGCCAGCTGCCTCAAGCCCTGCTTTGTAAGATTGCATCTGAATCTGCTGCTTATTGGCAAGTAGTAGATCGCGGCACTCGAATCGAGGTTTGGTATGGGATGGTGGACACAAACCCAGTTGACGAAAGCTTCGTAACCTACGTGCCAGCCCCGTGACATGCACTGCAACAGCACAGCAAAAGCACGGCACTGCAATGTTTGGGTCTGGAGCCACTGGGCTAGTCGGCTGGTCCCCGTTGCCGTTGGCATGCAACTCGAGTCAGGTGGCCTCGGGGCATTGCATGAGTGTGGCAACAAAAGGTCGGGGGATGGAACAAACAGCGAAAAGCGCATTAAAAGGTGCTACAGCTTGAAGGATTCTGGCGGGCTCCACAGAAGTAAGCATACTCCAGCACGAGTGTTACATCTCCAGAAACAGACTGCAGCGAGGCACGAAGTCTTGGTCCCATTCACTCTCATCATCTTCGTATTCGATCTGGTTTGGCATATCATCCTGGCAGGTTTCTATGGCTGGGCCATGCTAGGAAGCTGCTCGGCACCTGCCTTCCTCGCGACGAAATTTGTCATGTCCTTCTTGCCTCAGCTTGAAGCACAGGATTAACTCTTTCTGATCCGTACTCGCGTACACAGTGTATATCTACGCAAACTTGACCTGACAGCCACCCGCCCTGAGAACATTAGCCCGGCCTTCCTACGGGCATTAGCAGCCCAAGCTTCCTTCCAAGAGCCCAAGAAGGAGCCTGTCGCCCTCCTACCAGCGTCCGTCTCCTCCCTTCCTCCGAAGTGCAGTCAGAAAAGCGATTGCTCCCGGGACCTGACCTTAAACAGCAAATTCGCCCTGTGTTTGAACCCTCTATACATAAAAGCAAACCCGAAAATCTTTCGTCTTAGCAAATACGCCGAGCAGTTCCGCCCCAACAGGCCGCTTGCATTGGTTTCGAAAGATTTCGTAGCCAAGCAGATTCCATTTAACAGCTCAGGCGCTACAAGCTCCGGCTATGGTGGTGGGGAGTACAGCGTGACACCAGGAATATTCTGGCTATGACTTTACGAGCGACGGTTTCCTGGTGTCCTCGCCCTCTCAGTGCGCATGAAAGCTGCTCTTGACGATCGGCTTGTATGGAGGATCCAACTTCTGGCTTTCCTCGGTTGCATGCATTAAGCACGTCTCCAGTAGACGGCATCCTAGACCCGCTGGAGGCTTCTCCGACAAAGGGTGCTGAAAGCTGGGCTCTGGGACGGGATGAGAGAGACGAGATGTGCTGTGATATACTTCTGCCAACCACTGCCATCGAGCGTCCATGCCTTCCCAGTTGAAGCCAACGTACCATTTGTGATCCTTGACGTTCTGGATTGCGCCAGGTCGCATTGGTAGCCGCTCGCTGGGCTCCTTCTTTAGCAGACCTGGCAAAGACCCGTCACCTACTTGTGCGAGCTTGCCGCACCATCAGCTTAAGAGCACGGCGGGGTTGGTGAAAAGGATCAGCATCGGCACCCGTGCGGGTCTAATTGAATTGAAAAATACGTTTAGCAGCTTAGCGCTTTTGCAAGTTTCAGGCGGCTCGTATCGGTCTTGCTTCACTGTCTTCCTAAGCCACGATTGCCTGTGGCCTGCTTGAATGAATCCGTGTTTTCGGAACTTGCTGTCTGTAGTCTGCCATGCTAGTTACCCCAGGCTGTGGGCAAAAAACGAAACAAGTTCATCTGCGGCAGGTTTTCGCGCAAGCCTCAATTGTAAACAGGCATGCTGAAATTTACCATGGCGCTGGTGACGATGATGGTCAGGGTGATGGAGGCTTAAGGTTCAGGAAGCATGAGGGTTCTCTCCACCTGGGTTTTTTTTCTGCGTACCCCTTCAAGTACAGTTTGGAAAGTGTCTAAATGCGCTGTACCGGCCCCGTCAGCCCAGGTTTCATCTTGGTTGCAACCAACCTCCCTAGCGGCTGCAGATCTCGTGCATCCCTGCCCTGGCTCCACTTGTCCTGTTAAGCAGACTTTTTTTAGTCCTGGCCTTAGTATAACTTATGAAGAAAGGGGGCTGGGATCCACGCCTTTGATCAGATCGCCGATGGCCCCTTGGCACTTCGGCGGCATCTTCACCTTCCCGATACCTTTCCTGAACTGGGAGTGAAGCACTGGCGTCGGGTTTGGGGTTTCGGGTTCAGTGTAAATCCCAATCGAATTGCAGGCGAGCATCATCACTTTCGAGTATGTCTCGACTGGTGTCGGCGACTCGAAAGGAGGATGTCCAGCCATAAACTCAAAAAGCAGAATTCCAAGCGTCCACCAATCCACTGCAATCCTCGCCAGGTGCATTTCACGGGCCATGGATGTGCAAGAAGAACGAGCAGTTGTTGCAGGGAGGCAGAATATGACAATTTTTCGCTGACAAATATTTTAACATGTTCGATTGTTCGCGCGTCCTCTGTTTTGACATGGAGACTGCATTATTGCCCAAAGCTCCGAACAATATCTGCGGCTCCGAATCGCCGCATGTACGCACGGCTTACAAATTTGAGCAACAAGGATGTCCTGCTTGTATACTTCGGTTAATAGTAAGTATGTATGAACCCGACTCGGATGGTCGGGGGACTTAGAAGGTCGGTAACAAACATGCTGAGAAAAGGGAGCTTCCTTGGGACTGGGCTTTAAGCTACTTATAGGCCCACTGCATACCTGCCTACTAAGTCTCCCGGTGCCTCCATGTATACCCTAGATCCCGAAACCTCGTGTCGCATCCAAGTATCGTGTGCCCGGTCGAGGAGATGAGCTCCTCGAGGTCCATATTCTGTTAGGTTCATCTTAAACTATCTCATCGTAACTAGTAACTAGTATTCTACTTAGATTCATCTGACACAAACCCCCACCCTAGATGTCATACATGGGCCGGCTGCCGGATTCTGGACTCGTGGTTTCGGGTGTCCGGGCTATGCAGGTTGCACTTTGGCTTTGGGAGTCTTGGGTTTCATGCGGCTTTGAATTGCTTATGGGTCTAGTTGTAGTATATAACTCGCAACGGCAGCCGATGTAGCAGCAGCAGTGGCAATATTGCGGCAAGAGAAGCAAAGGTTGCTGCCGCCTAGGGGCTGGAGCAAAGTAATCCGGAGTCCCACACGTCGTGAAAGTCTTCCCAACGACGAACTTTGCGAGACCCATGTCCTGAGCCGAGCTGTTGTGCGGTACAACTGGCAAGGTTTCCGCAGCAAAGTCGACTGTCGCTGAAGACGGCATCTTCCGTCTTGGACAGATATAAGACAAGGACACGGTCAGTGACTGTTTGTAATGTGTTGGAACATACATTCCAATTTTTAAGGCCGCATACCGACAGGCAAACTATCCTTTTCCCCAGCCACTAAACCCAATCGTGAAGCCCGAATCCTGATCTATATACCCCCACTTGGCAGGAAACATACGTAACCGCACAATTCACGGAAGACATACCAGCGCCTGATGAAAGACCATTCAAGAAAGCCTTCAAAGCTCAAAATAGTTACAATTCATTTATCACTCACGGATCCCGACTGTAGTAACAAACCAGTCCATTGCAGCGCCCGCGGCCGGCCGCATCCTACAGCCCGCGTCAAAGCTGCACGAAGACGTTAGCAAGCCTAATCCAAGACCCTCTCTCTCTCTCCCAGCCATTCGTGCAAAATCCGAAACCCTAGATCTCAAACTCGGATAGGCCTAAACACCAAAACCCGAAGCCCTTATAGACGTTCACGCCCTGAATAAAAGCTGCGCCGTAGAAGATGGAATCTATCAATGGTGCACTGAAAGGAGCCTGGAAACTACCCTGCGCCTAGCCTCTAAACACCCCCATCCCCTAAACCCTGAACCCTACCTATAGTCTCAAGTCTCCATTGTAGTTCCTTTTTGGAGGTTACCTGTTAGGACCCTTAATCTAAAATGGGTTAAACCAAAAAAAGGAATTGCAATGGAGACTACAGGAAAACCCTAAACCCCTGCGCCGAGACTCCGTGAGCTTCAGCTGCCCAGACTCGTTGAGCAGCAGATTCTCCGGTTTCCTGATGCCAGGTTTCGGGTCTCAGGCGGTTTTTTGGGGGATTCGGTGCTAAGGGGAGTTCGGAGTCTTAGGGAGGTCTTGAGGCTTCTTGATTTAGGGGTATTAGGGGGGTGGAGGAGGGTTCTTAAGGTTTTTACAAGGACTTATATAACTGCTTGTTTTTTTTTTGCGGGATTTTGTCGGGGTCCATTGAATCCAAGCTTAATGGAGATTCTTCACAAGGTGCTAAAGGGGACTTGTATACGGGTATTTTGAGAGAGTTGTGGGGCTTCAGTCTTTCCTTTGGACTTGAGGGTCTTTCTTGGGATTCAGGGTTTAAAAGTTTAAGGGGTTAAACCAGGCTTGAAGTTTTCACGTTTTCAAGTATGGGCTGAGGGTTTCAGACTGTTTCCGGGTTAGGGCTTACGATTTGGGTTTCAGATTTCGGAGTCTGTCCAGCCAGGGTGCAGGTCTCGGTAGATAATGCGTCTGTCATGCAGATGAGCCAGCGCACAGACTGTGCCTGCACCAGCCGACGAAGGCCAAACCAAGCTTTGCCAAACTCAGCTAATGTAGGGGCCTTAATAACAAGAATAAGACTCTGAGGTATATTAGATTATAACTATAACAAGGAACCCCTAAAATAATACAGGTAACGATTAAGGCCCCTATTACCAACAGCACGATCCGATCAAGAGGACAAGTTTCTCGAAAAGCCACACGGATGGCACGTCCTGCCTGCAATGTAGAACTTTGCATGCTTTTCGCTCCTTGTGTGCAAGCCAGATGGGGAACTAACAGGGCTGGTTATGCTTCGGCAGACTGCCTACAGAGGCTTGGAAAACCACCGATATGAACATGTTCATTGCTTCCAAGATTGTCGTTCAAGATCGTGGTTGATCATTGACATACAAGACTAGACTCAGATGTTAGATTTCAACAGGACGGAACTCTATGCCTCCAAGGAAGATCTACATCTTGCACAGGCGACGGCTGCATAAACTTTTTGGCTTCCAAGAAAAAGGGATTTCGGAGTGACTCGTGATTCCGGCCGCGGCTGGGCACGCGCTGCATCTCTGATGTGCTGCAAAAGGCTGAGGAGGCGACCCGTGCAGGCCTTTCCGGTTGTAGGTTGCATAGAGCTCACCCCCCAAGGCAGCTTCAAGAAGGAAATAGAGTGTCTGGCTCCCGTTGAAGCACTCCTGAGCCAGCTCACTGACGCCGAAGTGCCGTCCATCTGGACGTGAAATCATGCCGAAGGCAGCCTAGCCACGAACAACTTGATGACAAAGAAAGAATTCGTCATCATGAGAATGTTCTTCTCGTTTAGGATGCTCTGCTGCATGCCTGCGGCACACCACCCAACAGTTTGAGTGCACAAGGTGCCAAAATGCTCACAACGAAACTGAGTGCACCGCCCATTTTGACAATGTACCCCTTGGAGACGCACTTCATGGCATAGGTTTCTTTCGTGTCCCTGTGGAGCGGCGACTGCAACACGGCATGTTATGTTATGTTATGTTATGTTATGACATGTTATGTTCTGTTCCATTAAGTTCTGCTCTATTATATTATATTCATTTATATTCTAAGATATTTTACAGTATGCGTTCATACTATTGTATATATTCTATGATATGCGTTTATTTTCTGTTATGTTGTTATATGTTATCTTTCATCTTATTACAATGTATTCTATCCTGTCCTATTCTATTATGTTTTATCATATTGCATTATATTTAATGAAACTTTATACTACATTATATTAAATTATATGATGCTTTATTATACTATACGAACTATATTATATTGTAGTATATCACCTGCAATTATAATACGATAGAAAAATATATAAATATAAATAAATAATATACATATGTATATAAATATATATATATATATGGGTGTTGATCTAAATTGCTTCATCCCGGAATGTCCTTCTTCACGGGAAAAAAAATAACTTTAACAAAACCAACGCGGAAAGGCATATTTACATACAT